GCTTTTCCTTGCTGAATAGCGTTCTGGTCGCGATCGTTCCGTAGGGCACCGTGCAGCTGTTCGACGGTTGGCAGCGGTTTGCCTTTGACTAGTGCATTCTGCACCTTTTGTTTCCAGTACGTCGTAAATTCGGGTTGTAGTGTTGAGATCACGTGCAGGAAGTTGTGCACTGCTCGATCGCCTGCAACATCAGGTAGGTTCTCTTCCTTCGCAGCATTGTATGCTAGGAGGAAGTTGGCCATCCAAATGTCAACGTTCTGGTTTCTTGGTGGCGATAGTAGCCGGTTGTAGTTGGCGGCAATTCGTAGCTTGCTGTTCTGGTCTGATGGTGCTATGGCTGCTTTGAGGATAGCTAGCCACTCGGATACGGGCTTGCCCACGTAGTAGTGCTGCAGTGCTACTACTACAGATTCGCTGATTCGCGTTTGCACAGAGAACAGGGCCGTTACGTGTTTTTCGTAGGCCTTTTCCTCCATGGCGTACTTCTTGACCAGCCTGTCGTACTTCTTGTATTGCTCATCGCTGAGCTCGGTGATGTCTGGTTCATTTCCCGTGGCGCTAGCATTTGTCATGGCCATTCGAATAGTAGGCTCAATAGGTGCGGCCTTTGCAGGAAGACGAGTGGTAGCATCAGGGTCGATATACTGCCAGACACGTAAGCTTTCGGCGTGTGTTTTGATCTGATTTATCCACAATTTCCAGTCTGGTCCTGATGCCAGGATGACTTTTGTTGTGGATAGCAGCTTGATGTTTGATGAATCCATACTAGTCAGGTTCGAAAGAACGGTAACTAATATACTGATAATGCTTTTGTGGATGCTTGTTGCAGCAAATAGCGCGTGTACGGCAGATAGCGCGTGCAGCAGCTGATAGGGGCAACGTAGCGAGGCACGTGACTTCCTAGCCAGGTGATGTAGGAGGAGAATACAACGATGGATTGTAGCGTTAGGCCGGGCTCATAACTGGCAGCTGGCGTAGGAAGGGCAAAGGATCAGTGAGGAAAGCATGAGTTGTATTGAGGTGCTAATGAGTGGCTATATAGTGAAGAGAGACCAGGGGTTGCAGGCAGCAACGGTGACAAAACAACAGGTGAACCCTGTCCAGCTGAGAAGTGAACCCTGTACAGCTGAGACGCGTAGACAGACGTGCGTAGGAGCATTCTAACTGGCTGCCAGATCCCGTCTTCGGAGACTGACACGAGAGGAAGCGGGCGGGCCCAATTGAAGACAGTTCCGACAACATCAGGAACAAAGACGAAGTGGCCGTCATGAGTGGACTGCATGAGGACATAGAGAGCGAAACCAAACTAGTACAACAATTTCAGCATCGCTACAGTACCAGTTCATCAGTTTAGGCACCCAGCTATACCGCTGCACGAGTTCGACTCTCGATCGCTCGACACCACTGTGAGGAATAGCCCAGCTAGTAGATGTGTAGCTAGCCCTAAGGTGGCCTAATTTCCACTGAGTCGACCTCTACATCGTATTTGAAGTTTAAACGGCCCATCAGGGCACCCCAAGCAGTGACAAGAGAGGGTGCAAAACAGCACGAGACGTACAAAGATTATACTGAAACCATTCTCACCTCAAATTCTTGTATATATGCTCCACTAGAGACCTTGCTCTCAATTTCATCCAGACCACCGAAGATATCCACTGGACCTTGAATCTTCTCCGCGTACCTTTAAGGCCGCAGTATACATGTTAGTGGGTTTTCATAAAGAAGAGGTGTTGAAGACATATTAAGACCTTACGTACTCCGTAGGGGGATTCTTTAGATAGACATTGGTACTCTGCCAAAGGAAATACGGCCGGATCGCTTTGATCAAAGCCAATGCCGCGCTGGCATTGAGTGGTACACTGGTAATACATTCATACGCCAATCTCGCAGGCACCGTAGGGGTTGGAACAGCCGATTGTGCCGCAACGGACGCGCTGACAGCCGCACATGGTGACGAGGAATTATCTTGTCTCGGGTAATGTTGAAGAGGCGTAGCAACTGCAATTGAGGCAATTGAAGCCAGCAGTAAGGCTCTGAGGAACAGCATGGTAAGAAAAAAGGTGCCAGTCAGATTGAACGCGTGGGCATCGCGTCACAATATATACTCAGCCAGCGGCAAGGCTGAGCCGTCTGCCCGGGATCGTGCTCTCACTGGCTTCTTCATCTGGCATCATGTGCAAATCGTACCTGATTGCGGAAGCTGGGTTAGGGATGGTGTTTCTTGGTACCTGCTGGGTACAGATGGAACTTCGGATTTCGCATCATCAAAGCTCCTAGCTCCCCTGTCCCCCATTTAAGACGGGGCGAATCAGCCCAAAGCTGGATGATCGAAGGTCAATTAATCTAGCTGATATGCCTTGCCAGCTGCCTGATAAGGAAGCTGTGAAAACGAAACCTGGTCGAAGCATTTTAACCTTGAATTATGCTTATGAACTGCCCAAGGTGTAAGAAGCCTCCGCGAGCTTACAATCAATAAACAGGAACACAGCGTTTCTGCTCATGCTGAGAGATGGATGGATGGTAGTCTCGCACTTGTTGATGATGTTTAAAGTTGAGAGGAGATCGGCGTGAGAACTCCCGGGGCCCTCGGAACGGACCGCCAAGGCGCTTTTCCCAAATAGTCTTGTTTTGGGGGTTTGCCGTCATCATGAACTGCTTTCATGATATGTCGGGACGAAAATTGATCCGTCGAGGTGAATTCTTGTTGCCCTTGCACTACAAGGGTACTCTTTCCTGCCACTGTCTTGTGGGGCTCTAATGTAATAACAGAAACGGGGCAGCAGATACACTTCCAATCTGCGTACACCCTGTTGGTGCTGTCTGGGGTAGCATCAAGAGTTTATCAATTGTCCAAAATGCCGAACTTCTCCCTTATTTGGAATGCTGAAAATACTTCGAGGTTCGTCACGCAGCGGTAAACGAGTGTACAGATATCTACGACGAGGCATTAGAACAAGATATAGATTCGTCAAGGTAGAGGAAGAATTATGTTTCGAAGCTGCATCATAGGTTGACCACTAACTAGAAAGGGTTGGCATAATTCTGCGCTTAAAGATAGGTACAAAGGAACGACAACTTAGATGGTGTTGTCGGAGGGATCGGGCCGGGAATTGCTGCATGAATAGAACAGCAAAATATTATTTGGGGCAAAAAAGCTGTGTTGTGTTTTAGTGCGTAAAGATTAACCAGTGTATCGCATCTAAAATCTGGGCAGCGAAGATATGAGGAAAAGCCTTTAGGACTTCTCGAATCCCCGAAGCACTTCAGACTGCGTTCATAAATACGATTGCTGCATTCACAGTGTAAGCTCCCTAGGAGATTTACACGAATGGTAGAAGGACCAGATCATAGGCTATGACGTTAGTTGCTGATTGGTTTTTTTGTCGAAAAAAGGCTCTCCCGTACATGCAATTAACGGAAGTACCTTCGAAGGACATTCGTTGCATGGGCTACTCGGGCTTTTGGTACCCTGGGATATACAAAGCATTCAATAATGGCACAGCTGCACAGTTTTTTGGGCGAGGCGTTAGAATTAGAATTAGGCAGCATTCAGGATTCTCTTGGTATAGCGTTATGGTCGGCTACCTCCGGGAGTCCTCTGACTAAGGCAGTAGTTTGCGGGGAAACATCAAGGACCGCAAAGCTGAAACGAAACCACTTCTGTAGACGCAATTGAGCGAATAACTTTGTACGTTGCCCAGCCGCTATTCAAAGCCTCGTTTGAGGGATGAGAGTCTGTTGTTCAGAAGCATGGCCAATTTGGTGGGTCGCTGCTAGGTACGGAGTCGTACATGCTGCTGTTATAGCTGTTGCGAAGAAAGAAAGGGTTGCCTGAGATCAAGTAGGTTGTTGAAGACTTGAAAGTGAAAATGAAGTCGTGAGAAAGGTGAGCGCGCCAACCCGAACGGGTAAGACAGCGTCTGTGCGACATGAGCCCCTTCACCTGGATGCCTTCAATCTCCGCCAGAGTCTGCAACTGACACTAGCAGCAGCACATCTCATGAGGAAACGAAACAACCCCCATGTAAATTAGGCCTGTTGCGAACAATTGATGGCGTAAAAGAATCCTTCAAAGCTTGGATCCCGTGTTTCAACACCCCAATGTGCACCCTACCCGACCCCTGTGCGCACGTGACCCAGCGCCGCTGTGGCTGAGTTCGGCTCAGGCCCGGCTCAGCTTCGGCTCAGCTCCCCTCAGGCCCGGCTCAGCTTCGGCTCAGCTCCCCTCAGGCCCGGCTCAGCTTCAGCTTAGTTCTCCTCAGGTCTGCTCACCCTTGCTTACCCTTGCTCACCCTTACTTACCCTTCCCTACTGGCTGCGGCATAGTCTTAGATGGACCTTGCTAGAAACTGTTAAGTTTTAGCAAGGGGCCTTAAATCTGTCCCCGGGTTATAAATCAGGGCCCTATACTGTTTTATATGCCTTATAAGCTTAAGCTACTTTCTAGGGAGCATTTCCCGCCCTTGTCCTTGTTAATACAGAGTATGCCATTCTGCTTAAATAGCTAACCTTCTCTTACTTTATTATTAATCCTTACCTTTTTCTTATCCTATACAGTTGGAATCTCTCGTTAACTGATGGTGTCTACAGTGCCTACAGCGTCACCAGAGTCATTGGCGGTCAATTGAAGGACCTCAAACAGCGTGGTGCTCGCAGCCTTTGCCTAGGGGACAGCATTCTCATGGCGGTCAAGTGGAGGACCTCAAACAGCGTGGTGCTCGCAGCCATCGACAACGCAATGCCTGTAGGCGCCCATCAGCACGCGAGGAAGCCCGAAGCTCCTGAAGGGAGATGGTCACAGCCAGCATGGTGGGGGTAATGGAGCCGTCCGCCGGACAGGCAGAGGGAGGAAGGACGACAGACCGGATGATTTCCAAGCAGATGCAATCCCGATGACGCGCTGCGAGGCGACGACGCCTGACCGACCCGGCTACAACACGACACGCAGGGTGGACACGAGTGCTGGGGCAGCAGCTGGATATACTTGAGGACGGGCATAGCAGGCAGATGGGAGGAGGAAGACGGATGCTCCATCTTGGTTAGTGGGAGGGAAACGTTGAAGTATGCTGCCTGGCTAGGGGTATATGGATGACAACTCCTGCAAGACACGGTCGGCCTTGTGAAGGGGAGACTCTACAAGGTATCGCGAAGCAGCGTCAGCTGTGAGGCGAGGTGTGCAATGGCAGCGACAGCAGACACTGTCTGTACAGCCCGAGAGGACGGATGCGCGTGTCGGTCCATGAACAGGCAAGGAGAGGAGGATGACATGGGCTTAAGGAGCAAACTGGTGCAGGGGCGTAGGAGGAGGGCTTTGTCCACCTGAGTCCTCGAGGCCAGGTTAGGAGGTGAGCTTAGGCAAGAGTCCTCCAGCTAGGCTGGAAAGCGTGTGAGAGGGGTCGCGCCCTCTTGTTGTAGTGTAGACAGCATGCAATACAATCTGTACCCGCCCGGGCATTACAAAGATAACTAACAGGATCCTTAAGAAATGCGAAACGCAGCTAGCACCAACGCTGGCCAGGTTCTTCACCAGGTGCGTGCGTATGGGGCACCACCCACGGCCGTACAAAGAATCAATCACCGTAGTGCTACGCAAGCCTCAGAAAGCGTCCTACAACACAGCGAAGTCGTACAGGCCAATTGCGCTGCTGGAAACAGTAGGCAAGCTGCTCGAACGCATTGTAGCACGAAAACTATCTAAGATAGCAGAGGAGAAAGGCATGCTCCCACCGAGCCAAATAGGCGCAAGGCCCGAACAATCTACGCAGACAGCACTGGAACTCCTCACGGAACAAATACAAACCGTATAGAAGGGCAACTCTCACCTTGTTACCTCCCTCCTTAGCCTGGACATCTCGGGGGCCTTTAATAGAGTATCTCACAAGAGAATAATACACAACCTACAGGTCCAACGTGTACCGGAATAGATGGTCCAATTCACAGAATCGTTCCTACAGGACCGAACTATAAGACTCTCTATTAGAAGATACATCGCCAAGACTATCCCGGTTAACACAGGCATACCACAAGGATCCTCACTCTCGCCGATCCTCTTCTTATTCTTTGCAAGCACGCTCCTGCCGGCACTACAAGAAGGCAATACAACAGCCTACGGGTTCATAGACGACACCAACATCCTCACATTCAGCAGAAGCACGGAAGAGAACTGCAGGGCAATCGAAAGTGCGCACGTACGGTGCATGGAGTGGGCGAAGAAGCACGGCGTAGTGTTCGCCCCGGATAAGTATCACCTTATACACTTCACGAGGCGCCGTTTAAATGCGGTAAATATAAAGGCCACAGTAAACATCCGGGGCTTTATAGAGAGCCCAATTATAGAGCTCCGCGTGCTTGGAGTTTAGGTAGACTCTAAACTTAAATGGGGCCCGCATATACGCATTATAAAGGAAAAGGCTATAGCACAGATGGGAGCCCTTACACGGCTAACGGTATTAATATGGGGCGCAAGCTTCTAAAAAGCACGGCATATATACTTAGCAGTCATCAGGCCGGTCCTTACGTATGGGTGCACCACCTGGTTTCCAACGCCAGGCATGAAGGAACAAATCAGCAAAGCGAAGATTAAACAACTTGAAACGGCCCAGAACTACTGCCTCTGTGCTATTGCAGGGGCGTATAAGACAACAGACATCAAGACGCTTGAACACAAGACCTCTTGCCCCCCCCTAAGGCTTAAGCTAGAGGAACTCGCGGTAGCGTACGCGGACCGCACGCGCGCGGGCCAGGCTAGAGAGCATATTGAGACCACGTGTTGCACTATTAGAGACACCATTAGGAGACACTATAAGCCTAGGAAAACGCCTAAATATGAGCCGAGCCGGCGTGATGTACTGAAGAGGCTCGCGGTTAAGGCCACAGCACTAGCCCCGAGGTACGAAGGGCAGTTAGACAACTTATACAAGCTTTTAAGACGAGGAGCAATACAGGAAGCGTACGAGGAAAGGTGGAGGGACGAATGGGAGGCCCACAGGAAGAAACGAAGGGGCCCCCCTACGCCGGCCCTCAACACGAAAT